ATAATGTTTATTCCACGTCAAATGTGACATGGTAAAGACGCTTTTATGATTAGTTTTTGTTTAATGAGAGATTCCACATCAAATGTGACATGTCAATCTCAATAATTTTTGGGGTCAAAAATAAATCTGATAATCTATATTCTTATTAGGCCAAAATGATTAATTATTTTTTGGGCCAAAATGAATTTTTGGGCGAAAATGAATATTTGAGCCAAAACATATTTAAAATCATATGAATTATTAATAACAAAAGAAAGTTTTTAATTAATTATTTTGTTTAGATATTATTTTAATTCGTAATTTTAAAAATTCAGATTTTTATTTTGTATTTTTCTGGAATTTATTAATTCAAAATATAATTTTTCTCTTTCGTAATGTTTATATATTTTCCTATATAAATTGATTTAATAATAAATTATTAAGCAACATATATTTACACATTTTGAAAGCATATTATGTAAAATATTTTGACATAATTATGCAAAATATAAATCTAACTTCGGAATTTATAACTTAAAATTTCATAAATAACAAATAAAATTTTAATAAAATAAATCTTAATATTAAATCTAAACAATAAATGCAGTTTTTCGTGATTGCATCAATGATCAATAATTTAGGATCACATAATTTTAGGATATTGCCTTAAATTCTAAAGTTTTTTTAAAAAATTTCCTTTAATTTTGCTGCCTATAATTTAAAGAAATATGATCATGCATGTAGACAACATTTTTTTTACTGATACATATTTCATATGTTTCTGTTTTCAAATTTGAATTAGTAAATATCATTGAATGCATCTTTTATTATTTACTTGTTGAAATACTCTGATATATTTTTATTTCCTTAAATTCGAAATTGTGATATTATTTTCATCAATTTGAAACTTGCAAAGCACAATTTATATATTGTTTAAATATTATAAATTAAATATTTTCTAGGTAGTTGTAAAGATTGCAAGCTTCCTAACATATGTTTAGCAAATATTTTTAATATATGCTTCACGAATGTACCAAATAATTAGCCCAATTAAAAATAAAGATTTGGAAAGAATTATTCTTCTTTACTCTAACAAATCCTCCCATATTTTCACCTTATATAAATAGAGAGTCCAGTTGCCTGATCTGATGTTCAATAATGATTTGAACTGATGTTCTTTCTTCTTTCTTTTTTTTTTCTTTGCAGGATTTCAATGGTATGAAGCTCATATGTAAGTCAAAGATTCGTTCTACTTTTCAATATTTTTGGTTAGTATTAAACCTGACAATACTATCAGCATATTATGTTATATATTTTTGCATTAAAACGTGTTTTTCCATGATATTCAGGCTGATCTCTCAAAGAGGGACTGAAAAATGACACCATGGCTCATTGTTATCTTCTATGTACCATGGTATAATAGTAATGCAGATTCATAACATGAATTATTTTAAAGTTTCTGATGCCATATATTTTTTTGTTATCAGTTTGCCATATAGAGTCTTGAAACTACAAACATACAAAAACCATAATAAAAACACTTAAAACCAAATAAAACATTTGAAAAAGAAAAAAAACTTAATCAAAATGGGCAAAAACACCGTGTTATCATTCACCTATAACACTTGTGATGAAACTCAATCTTTTACATGAGAACATATTCATTGGAACTTTCTTGAGATGCACCCACATATGGATCATTTTAACTATGGGAATATCCTATTTGGTGGATGGTGACCACTGTGAAACTACCATAGGATTTTCTGAAATATTCCATATTCCCCGTCTGAGAATTCTTGCTCGAACTTGAGGATTCTGGATTTTGAACTTCATTGTTGTGGGGTTAACTATGTGAACATATTTTTTCGATTTATCTCCCTGCGACCAAATCATGTTAACAATCACATGAACTTTTGTGACGTGAAGAGCTGCTGAAAGAAACCTACCAACCATGAAATCCTCCCATAGAGGCGAGGTATTAATTCTCAAAATTTTCATGAACTTCGATATATCGATAAATCTCTGAATTTGAGACTTCAAACTCATACTTTTTCGTTAACTTTTTTTATTTTGAAACACCGAAGTAAACACTGCCATCAATTTAATAGGTGACTGAGTAATAGGAGGATCTCCAAGAACCTCTAGTGTCACCATTGCGGCTGAAGCAGGACCAACGAGTTAGTTTGATTGAAACAAAACTCCATAAAACCTAATCGCCTCCAAAATCGTCTCAAAAGGAAAACCCACTGCTTCTCTTGTTTATTTTGACGTATAATTATTTTGGTAACTCGTTTGTTGGAGAACTGCCATAAAAGATTTCCGGCTGAATTCAAAAAGCATTGCCATTATCAGTTATGATATATGTCGTTAGAAACCTGTCAAAAATGGTCGTAAAAAAATCAGTTAAAAGTTTCTGACATATTTCCGACAAATTTCCGACAAATTCAGCTATCTGATGATCTAAAACACAAAGTCTGAAATTCATTGGAAATTAGCATTTCTTTTTTTCTTGTAATTGGGTAACATATTTGGTCATAAGTCAGATCATGTCACTAAATGTCGAGGATACGGAAAAGATACCACGTTGTTTATAGATTTAAACAGTGGATCTATTAAAATTCTAAGTGTGTTCCCATGTTGCCAAATTCTCATATAGCGTGTTTGTCAACCCGTCGTTTAACGCATTAACAATACCAAGTGACTGATTGGAAAAGATAGGAAAGGAAAAGAAATAAAATGAGTTAAGTTCTTAATCGGATTAAAAATCAGTATGTGGGTCAGCTAAAAATTTTCTGAGAGTATGAGCGTGAAAATTTGTATAAAACGAAGGATTTGATTTTGTTTTTTTTTTTTTGAGCTGGACCGAAGACAAGTGTTTAAACTAAAAAAAAGCAATAGAAATATTTTAAAACTATATCCAAGTTTAGGTTTTGAAGATTATGGACTTTCTAACTGTCTAAAGTCTTATGAAACTGTATATTTTAAAACTTGCTTGAATATATATATATATATATATATATATATATATTATAAATTTCTAAAGACACTTAAAAAATATTTGTCCCATGTATTATTTAGATGACTGCCATGCTGAGGTTTTAATTTTAGAGAGTTTCTCAGAAATTTTTTTAAAGTATGCTCAACTTACTAAATTAATAATATTGTGTCATTTACATACTCTTATCTTATTTGTATTAATTAATTCAGATGTTTAGAATAAATATTTACTATGTTACATACTGGACTTTAATAAATGAAAGCTCATAATATCACAGCTGCGAAATATATACCAGAAATAGTATAACCGGAATATGTTATTTGATTCATGATTTTTTTGTTGATAAAAATAATCCTGATTTTAGAGTCAACCATTATTATATCACAAGAAATATTGTTATTATTTTTTTTTCATTTAATCTTATTGTGGTATGTCTACTTTATCACTAAAATAATATAACGACTTATAGTAAAATTACCGATTATGGTTTTTTGATGATATTGTGTATTGTTTTTTACAATGAACCGAGTTTATATCACTGTTAATTAATTTAAATGACATATGAATATATAATATGACTATATGATTTGATAATTTATGGAGAAGGAAAAAGTGGAATAAATATATGTCACACAATGATTTAATAAATTGTTATCACAACTATATTTCTTACAACTATTATATAATTTACACTAAAACCAAATTAATATATTTTTAAAAATTTTATAATTTAAAAAAATATATCTCTCAAAAAAATTTAGATAAATCTCACCTTGCGCAAAAAACAGATTAGGTAATAACCTAATGTTTGTAAAGATCGAGTGTTGATTACTTATATGCACTAATTAGACATATTATCTTACCAAATCGTATCTTATAATGGTGTTAAGTCTAGTCTGGACGAAGTAACCAATGATTATGAATACCAACTAAGGATTAGCCTACGTTGTAGCGCGGGAGACATTTTTTTTGTCTTCAATTAAGTTAAATAATTTTATAAACAGTTATTTTGTAAAAATAGTTATTTTTATAAAGTTTATGATAATATAATGCATATTTTTGTGAATTTAAAAAATGAATTGATCTGTATATAGAGTAATTTCTTTTTTGGTTTAAATTATTAAAAATGAGGTTATCTTATAAGGGGGTAAAGGAAAATAAACTGTTTATTTAACTCATTGGCATTAGACTATATTATTCAGACTAATACACAAATATTATAATATTGTAATCACCAACTCTAATTTACATCACTTAATAACTGTTTTTTATAATCTGTCCACAAATTATAAAAAATTAATTTTATTTTCTTTAACTATAAATGAAAATAGTAATATACTTTATTAAATGAGAAGCAAAGAATTTCTATATGTTTTACAATAGATTTGAAAGACAACTATATCTTTTTTTATTTTAATTATTCTTTATTATTTTTAATGACATATTATGTAATATTTTTTAAAATAAAGGTTTATTTTTTAAAATGTCTGCTTAAATAATAATATAGAAATAAATATAAACATTGAGGCAACCTTTATCAAATGGATCTTACGAATCTGTACATGTCTAGATGACTCAATTTTTAATCAAATCTCAAAACAAAATAAAACTCTTCTAAATAGGTTCTATAAGGAAATCTAAAACCTTAAAAACCGATAAAATTAATTAGGCTAAACGTTATTAAATTATAATAATATGAGCATAAAAAAAATTATTAGAAATCTATGCTGCATATGGTATCGGGACTAATGGAAATGTATGGAGCGAAGCTCGGATATGTAAATGGCCCCAACAAAAAAAAATTCTACTCATTTTACACTAGTGTAAGTGTAACATCCCTATCCCGAGATATCAAAAATCGGTTTGTTTTAATTCCGGTTCTCTCTAAAATATGAGTCTATTTGTTGTTTTAGTCCAAAAGCTCAACCCGAAAGCCTGCTAAGCTAATAGAAAATCGTAACCCTATAGTTGTTTCACCTATATAAATAGAAGGAGGACGTGGCAGAGAAGAGACAGAGTGTTCCTTGCGGCAAAGCCTGTCGAATTCACCTTTGTGAGCAGCCACCATTGAATCACCTTGAAGGAGAAGACATTGTAACCAAGAGAAGAAAGATCAGACCCGTTCTGGTAGAATGAAGGAACGATCGGGCAAAACAAATCCAATCGATCTGAAACTTAGTGAGTATGTTCTTAACTATTTAATCTAACTAACGCCGAAAATGGATTGTTATTCGGAGTTGTGAGATGAAAGTTATGGATGTTTTCTCATGCTTGATTTGTACAGTACGGATCTGCGACCAGTGTGAGGAGTTGGATTATTTGGATAGGCAAATCAATCTGGATCGACCTGAAACTTTGCAGAGATCTTAAGGATACGTGTATCTAGCTCTCAGTTAAAGGAGAACTGATTTGAGTCTCAGAATCATTTGGAATCGCGTTGTCAATCTAGTGGAAAAGGTGAGGATTAGATCTTAGCTTTTCTCTATGTTCTCTTATGTTCTTCTAGTGTGTTGAGTCTAGGTATACGCAAGTATGCCGCATGATAGTAACGTATTTCCAATCCTAGCAGGAAAAGGAGGGAAACGGATACTGCATAATGTTAGATCTACATCTTATGAACGAATATAGATTAGGAATAATTAGATGAAGAACCAGCATCCTTGTTTTATAACCCTGTTGTGTGATATACTGTGTAAAGCAGTTAGTAGTATGAAAACACTATTAGGTGTCCGTCACAAAGATTGACAGACCATTGTGGTCCGGAATTGTGTGTTTGGGGCTGGACTTGGAGTGCAAGTCAGTTCTCACTGCCGGGAGGGTTTAGGCGAGCCCTTGTGAAGTGTCTTTGGGACATAGATCACCTTCAGGTGTTGAATAAGTGTTTTGGGACATAGATTACCTTCGGGTATAGATTAATGAAATGTCTTCGGGACATAGATTACCTTCAGGTATGGAATGAGAAGTGTCTTCGGGACATAGATTACCTTCGGGTATGGTTGAGTTGTGGTTGGTGTGGTTGTGGATCGGTCTCTCTTGTTTGTGTAGTTGTGTGAGCGCTTCTAGAGCGTGATGTGTGATTACTTGTTTATATCTATACTTGGCATGTTGGTGGAATATGAGCGGGTGTGGTGAAGAGTTCTAGGTTTAGTTCTCACTGAGGAATCCCAATTGCTCACCTTCTCTCTCTCTCTCTCTCTCTCTCTCTCTCTCTCTGAGGTGAATTTAAGGAACTGGAATAGTGATCCTGGTGTTGTGCGCGGATTTGGAACAAGGATGTTTTTATTTAGATTTTTGTTATTTCTTTTAAAGATAATTATTTTGTAATTTGCTTCGTATTTATTTTAAAATTTAAGAGTCGGATTTAGATTAGTCACACTTTGAGAATTTTAATGGAATAAAGAAGTTTTAATCAGGAAATATGGTTAGTTTTATTAGTAGACACAACCGTTTGACTGTTTCATTTTGGAAGGCCGGATTGGGGTATTACAAAGTGGTATCAGAGCCGAGGTTCGAGGTGAGGGTGAATCTAGGTTAGTTGGTTAAGGTAATCGGATTTAAAAGTTCTCAAATGGGGATTTTTCAAATATTATAAAACCACCACCTAGGTGAGCCACTCTAGTCAATAGTTGTACTATTTGCAGGAAGATCAGTTTTTACGGGACTAGACTGACTTACTTACCTCTACTTTATTCTGAATTTGTAGATGGCTCCGCAAACCAGAAAGCCTGAGCCAGAGTTGTCTGTCACCCTGAGGTTCATGGAGAGAATGACCCCACCATTGGGAGTGTGAATGGGAATGGAATCCATATTGAGCAGCCACATGTGAGTGTGAATGGGAATGGAAACCAGAATGGAAATAACCCTGCTCCAATGCCACATGTTGACTATGCTGCCAGGATGGAAGGGTTGAGGCAGTATCAGGAGAGGTATGGATACCTCCAGAACGGACTGAACTCTCGTGTTAATGGACACAACCAACACCATCAGGTGCCACCCCCAGTGAACCCCCAATATCAGTATCCCCAGTGCCACCGCAGGTGAATCCCCAACACCAGCAGTTTGTGCCGCCACCTGTGTATGTTCAACCGCCAGTGCCACCTCCAGCCCCCACCACCGCTTGCGCTAGTCTGTGCTCCAGGATTGAGTTACTATGAGGCCATGAGGCATTTGAAGGACATGGGAATAGAATCATTTGGAGATCTTGTCTTTGCTGATAACTGGAGGAAGAGGTTGGAGAGGAACTTTGAAGCCATGAGGTGCCCAGAAGATTATCGGAAAGATTTAGCTGTACAGTACCTTAAGGACGAGGCTTTGATATGGTGGGAAGGTGTGGTAGAAGGAACTCAAGCACGTTATGAGTTCCAATGGGATGATTTTAAGACCGAGTTTGCTAATAAGTTCTTTCCACCGGAAGCTTTTTTATCAGATGGAGAGTGCTTTTGAGGATCTTCGCCAAGGAAGCCTTACTGTGAGAGAATACAATGAAGAGTTCAACAGGTTGAGGAGGTTTTCCAGGAGACATCTCACCCAAGCTGATTTGGTTCACCAGTTTATGAAAGGTTTGAAGATGGAACTAAAAATCCGGTTTTCTATCCGGAAGTATCCCAGTTTGGTGGAGCTAGTGGAGACAGCTGCCATCCAGAAAGCTTTAATTCAGGAGCATATGAGGACCAAAAATGCTCTAGCTCATCATGCATCACATGCTCAAAGGGTATTAAAACGGATTTGGGATGACATGACAGCGGTTAAGACTACCAAAAATGCTCCAATGTGCAGCCGCTGCAGAAAGAAACATAATGGACCATGTGGGTGGGCCAAGTGTTATGGATGTGGGAAAACAGGTCATCTCAAACGAGACTGCCCTTTGCAAGGGAAGTTTCCAAGATGTCTCCATTGTGGGCAAATGGGTCACTTTGCAAGGGAATGTAGAGCAGCACTTTCAATGCCACAACAAGGAAGCATGGTGCAAGGAGGATTGCCTAAGCCACCGCCAGCCAAGAGACCTTGATGAAGGAGCATTGATCGAGTAAGTAAATCTCCTTAGGACGTCCATCCATGTTCTTTGTGAAATTTGTGTGTGATAATGGAAGTTGCCTACTTAACCATTAGTATAAATCGTGAAAATTCGGTTTCAATAGGGTCAGATAGCTTTCACTTTGTTCCTTAGAAGCAGAATGAATGCAACTTGGATAGTTGCAGAGTGGATTGAGTTCCAAAAAATAGCATATATGTATCAAAGAGCGGAATAACCCATATAGTCAAGTGTAACTTTAAAATAAGTCTTAGATAATGGTTGTGCTGATCGCAAGCTGGAAATTAAAGGCAAGGATAAATTCTCACTGTCAAATGTACGATGGAATTAGAGCACCACCCACCCTTCCCCGATTGAGATGAGAGGCAAGAACATATGGGCATCATCTAGGAGAAGGACACTCAAAATTTTGGTTTAAAAACTACCTAGAACTCTTTAAGGACAAGGGTGAAACCGGAAGAGTAGATTCGGAGACAAATTCTTTGGAAATAGGGGAGAGTTGTAACATCCCTACCCCAGAATACCAAAAATCGGTTTGTTTTAATTCTGGGTCTCTCTAAAATATGGGTCTAAAAGTCCAACCCAAAAACCTGCTAAACTAATAGAAAAACCTAACCCTAGAGTTGTCTCACCTATATAAATAGAGGGAGGACGTGGCAGAGAAGAGGCATAGTGTTCCTCGCGATGAAGCCCTGTCGAATTCATCTTTGAGCAGCCACCATTGAATCACCTTGAAGGAGAAGCCATTGAAACCAAGAGAAGACAGATCAGACCCGTTCTGGTAGAAAGAAAGAATGATTAGGCAAAACGGATCCAATCGATCAAAAACTTGGTGAATATGTTCTTAACTTTTAAATCTAACCAATGCCGAAAATTGTTATTCGGAGTTCTGAGATGAAAGTTATGGATGTTTTCCTATGCTTAATTTGTACAGTATGGATCTGCGACCAGTGTGAGGAGTTAGATTATTTGGATAGACAAATCAATCTGGACTGACTTGAAACTTTGCAGAGATCTTAAGGACACGTGGATCTAGCTCTCATTTGAAGGAGAACTGATTTGAGTTTGAGAATCATTTGGAATCGCGTTGTCAATCCAGTGGCAAAGGTGAGGATTAGATCTTAGCTTTTTTCTATGTTCTCTTATCTTCTTCTAGTGTGTTGAGTCTAGGTATACGCAAGTATGCCGCGTGACGGTATGCTTCTATGTTGGATAATGTTAGAACTACATCTTATGAACGAATATGGATTAGGAAACCATTAGATGAAGAACCAGCATCCTTGTTTTATAACCATGTTGTGTGATATAATGCGTGTAAAGTAGTTAGTAGTGTGAAAGCACTGTCTGTCACAAAGATTGAGAGACCATTGTGGTACATAATTGTGTGTTTGGGGCTGGACTTGGAGTGCAAGTCAATTCTCACCGCCGGGAGGGTTTTAGCGAGCCCTTGTGAAGTGTCTTTGGAACATAGATCACTTTCAGGTGTGGAATAAGTGTCTTTGGGACATAGATTACCTTCAGGTATGGATTAATGAAGTGTCTTTGGAACATAGATTACTTTCGGATATGGAATCAGAAGTGTCTTCGGGACATAGATTACCTTAAGGTATGGTTGAGTTGTGGTTGGTGTGGTTGTGGATCGGTCTCTCTTGTTTGTGTAGTTGTGTGGACGCTTCTAGAACATGATGTAGAATTACTTGTTTATTTCTATACTTGGCATGTTGGTGGAATATGAGCGGGTATGGTGAGGAGTTTTAGGTTTAGTTCTCACTGAACAATCCCAATTGCTCTCTCTCTCTCTCTCTCTCTCTCTCTCTCTCTGATGAGTTTAAGGAACTGGAATAGTAATTCTGGTGTCGTGCACGGATTCAGGACAAGGATGTTTTTATTTGGGTTTTTGTAATTTTTTTTAAAGAAAATTATTTGTTATTTGCTTTGTATTTATTTTAAACTTTAAGAATTGAATTTAGATTTGTCAAACTTTGAGAATTTTAATGGAATAAAGAAATTTTAATTGAGAATTATGTTAGTTTTATTAGTTGACATAAGCTATTCGACTGTTTCATTTTCGGAGGCCGGATTGGGATGTTACAGAAAGATTCAAGAAATGGGATATGAGAGATACGAGTAATTCAAATCTGAATTGAGATTATTTTAGATTTTTTAAAAAATATAGATTAGAATATCTACCAAAAATCAAAAAGTCAGTTATTATCCTAATATATCTAATAAATCAAATATTGATTTAGATTTGATTTAAATATTTTAATTTAAATAATATCTACAATATTCAAATTTTATCAAAAATAACAATAATTAAAAAAAAAATTAATTCACATATGAAAAATAGTTATGATAATGTAAATGATATGATATAAATGATATGATATTTATGTTGATTATATAAAATATTTACGTTTATGCTTTAATTGCAAATTAATAATAAAAATAGATAAGAGTCAGATATATAATTTTTAATATTAAAAATATATTACTAAGGCGATATAGAACTGAAAATATATATTAAAAACTGGTTTAGAAATATTTTGGTAGCTAAAATCACTAATTTTGAATCATACAGGTATAGCAAAGTCGCTAGCTCTGCGCAATTTTATTGGATGATGATGCTGATGTGTAATTTCTGTCCAAATTTTTCTTATTTAAAAAAAACAAAAAATAGAAAATCATAAACGGATAAACACGCAGATCTTTATACCCGACCCACCCCAATTATCTGTATTTTAAAAACACTCTTCTGCCCTATATGTCATAGAAGCCTATTTATAAATTTATTGAAATTATGGATTTTAAAACCTTTTCCGCGTAAGAAAATAGAAATTATTCCCAAAATAGAAGATTACATTAACTATTAGCAGGATTTACCGGAGTTAATGTAACAAAATATACAGAAATATTTATTTATTTTTTAAAAAAACAGGAATTTATGTTACAGTTTAATCCTAGACATCAATTTTGGCAATTAAATCAATTTGAATATATTGATGCTCAAATATTCCCGCAACGATACCTACTTCTACGCACATTCCGAATATCCATATTCTTCATTTCATTCTCTTTCTCAAAATAATTGAAATCCCGCCTAACATCATTTTTAAAATGTTTTCATTAACTTTCTCTCCCTATATATACCACCTATCGTAAACCCTAAAACTCTACCATTCTCATTCACTAAAATGGCTTTAGTCCGCAGACGTTCAGCTGCTATTGTTCCATTTGCCAAATTAGATCAATCAAGTGAAATTCAAAAAGTTAGAGCTACTATATTTTCACTTTGGAAAGTCAAGAATAGGCAGTCTGGCTTTGTTATAGAAATGGTATTGGTTGACGAAGAGGTTTGTATGCGATGTTATGTATTCTTATTGTTATTTTAAGTAATCTATAGATTATATAGTAATACTATTTACGTGTGATTCACAGGGCACTAGGATTCACGCTACTGTTGATGAAGAATTGATCGCAAAACGTAAAGGGATCCTTATAGAAGGAAAACCACTTTCTATTAATTGCTTCATAATTAAAGAATACTATGGTGATTTTAGGACGACTCTATTACCATACAAGATCGCTTTGTGTAAGACAACCCGTGCTAAGGAGATTAATGATTTTCCATCAGATTTGCCAGAGAAATATTTGTCTGATTTCAAGTCAATCAAAGAAGACAAACTCGACAAAAACGTCCTCATCGGTATGTCATCATCTTGATTATGAAATTTATATTATAATAATGTACATATTTATCATTGTATACAAATATTTTTTCTTGAAGATGTCATTGGACAAATTGTCACCATTGGGAGTATGGAAGTTATAAAAACTAAAGGAAAAAGTGGGATCAGCGAGAAATTGATGATAACATTCCGGGATACCAAGTAAGTAGTTATGATATCATACCAAAATAAACATAATAATATTTTTTAAAAATTTAACGCTAATATGTTTACTGATGAAGCGATGTCCAACTGAAATGTACACTATGGGGACAATATGCTAAATCAATTGTTGAGTACACTATTGCTATTGTTGTGTGTGTAATGCGATTTGTCTGTATAAAAGAGTACAAAGGTTAGATCACTATATCCCCTATTCATATATATACAGTTTGTAGAAATTGGGTTTGGATCAGTTTGTTAATTATTCTTATTTTATGTTTTCTGAGTATAGGTGACATTTCAATATCAAACGCTTTCAACTCCACCAAAATTTTGTTTGATCCTGACATCAAGATCGTGAAAGACTTCAGAGAAAAGTATGTTATGTGACAATTTAATATCATTTTAAAATTGTAGAGTTTATATAATTATTGTTTACGTTGTTGTAGGTTGCCAAAAAACAATCAAATGATTGTGCATGCTGAACAGAGTTATTCGACTTCTTGGGGTGGTGCTATTGACTACCGTGAAGAATTTTTAGGTGTGAAAAATAGGAGGCGGACAATAGCTGGAATTCGTGATACAAAAGTGGTATAAGCTATATATTTTGAAAATGGTATAAATATATTTATATTTAACTATATACATATTAATGGTTTTGTTATAGCCTGGCAAGATTGTAACATGCGTTACGGTCAAAGACGTTGATACTTCAAAGCTGTGGTATTATTGGGCATGCAAACCTTGCAACATCAAAGTTTTAAAGCATGGAATTATGTCTGATGATGAAGATTACGATAAGAGGATTCCTCTTTTCAGTTGCAAAAATTGTGGTGATATTTATTCATATGATATCATCGTCGCAAGGTAATAAAATGATTTGTCCCATAAAGTCAAGAAAACATTATTTATTTCATTAAGTATTTCTTAGGTAATATATCTAGCACATATAGCAGAATTATTTCATGTAGACTTTCTCTGATTGACTGGCTAAATGTTCGCCTTATTTTATTACATTGATTCGTCTCATCATACATTTATTCTGGCACTACATTACATGTTTATGATTGTAACGTTTAAATAACTCATTCTTCTATTATCTTTCAAACAATGTAGGTACTACATTGTATTATTTGTAACTGATGATTCAGATGTTGATGTCCGCTTCCTGATGTTTGATGACACAGCTCAAAGATTGTTAGGTCATTTAGCTGAGTCTATAATAGAACAATATGATGAGGTTATTTGTGTAATAATTGTATACATTATGCAATATTTACATTTTCTGAAATAATATTAACCCATTATATATAATGATGCGCAGGATTTACCAAGAGGGCTCCCTGATGGCTTGAAAAATCTCCTAACTATGAGGATGCTTTTCAAAATAACAATTTCAGAAGAACATACAAAATGAAGCCAGTCTCCGTATGTAGTAGAACTATAGTCTCAAGATGTCGACATTATGACTGAGTGGAATTCTCGATCAGAGGTAATATATGATAAATTTTTACAGACTTCTAAAGCTTGCTTATCTGATCGTTTAGTTAAATTAAGACATCAACAATGTACCTATGTCTTCATCAACCGTTGATGCTTACGAGTTCAGACGAACTTGAGAATCCATCGTCTGGATCTTCACTCACTCCTTCTTCTAAGAAGGTAATTAAGAGTCCCGACTATTTGGATGAAGGTGAAAGATCTGTTAAGAAAAAGCGACCGAAGCAAGAGATCCCAATGAAGTTATGAAGAAGCAAGAAATCGTAATGAACTTATTGCAGAAATGCATTGCTGGTGATTGATTATTGCTTTTGATATTTGTAACCAATTTGTCCAATGGGTGGATAACGTTTAAACTCTATTCGTTATTTTGTTTGCGGTATTTGTGGAACTTCGTGGAACATTAATGTTGCCCTAGATTGTTTTTCCCTAATTATATTTTTTTTTGAAACTTTAATTTGTGATTTTCTTTTTCCAACCAACTTTCATAAATTTACACAAGAGTTTCAATTAAGACGACATTAAAACAGTAACCGTTTTACTCCATCACATAGAAAACTATTCATTTCCTTATTCTCTTTCATCTTCAATCTTCACAAAAATATTAAAACAAAGAATGTCTCCTTGTGAAAGACTTACCGATCTTCAGATTTCAAACGGCGAATATCGTATTTGTGTACAGACACTAAGAGATTATTATGATTATACTCTCTTCGATCGACCTAATCGTATGTTAGTTCTTGCGGATGAATTTGTAAGTTTTTCAAGTTTGAAAAGATTTACCGTATATTTCCTAAATTATTTATTTTATAAACCGTGTAGGGCAATCGCATCCTGTATACTATTCAATATGATATTATGGACAAATTCGAGTATGAATTGGTTGAAGGAGATTGGGTTTTTCTTGGTAATTTTGAAGTTACTGACAGAGTGATTCGTCCAAGTATATCATCAAACAACTATCATATACATTTCCTCGAGGATACCATTGTTGAGAAAACCGATCCGAAGTCTTCAAGAGGAATATACTCTTTTTGTGCATTCATGAATATTTTATATAGATTTATTCATACAGATAGATATCTTGGTATGTTTCTTACAGCTTTTTTTTTTTTAAATCGTTTATCTAAGGAACTCCAACATGTATTTAAAGGCAGTCCTTTATTGTTGCAGTTGATCTTCTCGGCGTTGTCACATTTGTTCAGAAACTTCAGTTAGGAGTTCCTATGTCTGATACATCAGACATACCCACGGAACGTCCACTTATTCGTTTTAAAATTCAAGATTTCAGGTCTGTACAACTTATTTCTCAGAACATCTGTTATTTGTATATTTTTTATAAAGTTTAAAATATAATAATAATGTTCTAAATGATTTAAATATACAGTGGAGAAACTTTGAAATGTATTGCTTGGAATAACTTGGCAAGGAAATTTGAAGATCTTTGGACGAATCGTGAAAGGTCTTCTAGGCATATTATTGTATTGCGATTTTTCTCTTTCACTAGATGGAGAGGTAACTATCTACCTCATTATTTGATATTTTTAATTAATTACAAGTTTTACATATATATTTTTTTTTCCAAATAGTGAGTATGTCTATGTATTTAGATGAATGGATAGTTGAATCGGAAAGATTCATATCTGATATTCTCGAGGATCCTCCTACCCCAGAAGTGGAAAGTGCAAGGTTGAGGTATGTTTATTCCATCGTTGATATTGTATCCTATATTATAATCTTTCTAAATATATGATAGTTATATTTCTTATTTTGACATAACGCTGATAATGATAAAAAAATTCTAATATTATTTCAAGCTTGCATTTTCAAATGATTTTCCTCCAGTCCACGATGAATATGAAGACCAGCCTCAGTAAAAGAAGTTGGTGTTTCTTATTTCTTATTTTTATAGTGTTAAACCATACTTCTAAATTATTCTGATCGTGACCAGCTCAGAGGAGGAGGAACCAGAGGTAGCTGGCAGGATTACTCGTTCCAGAGCTAGAGAGATGGCTAAGGAGGCTCACGCACTCATAGCTGCAGAGGACATCGATCAACTGGAGGCTGGAGCTCACATCTTCAATATCTCTATCTTGAAGAATGAAGAACCCAGTAACAATGACTAGGTAACTTAGGTGATGATTCTGTATTCTTTTCCTTGGTGAGGATTTTGGAAGGCAAGGAGGTTCTTCTCCAAGGTTTTTAACGAGGCAGAAATCATTGCTACGTCGAGTTACTTAGAAGTTGTTACTAATGGGTAATAATGTGAAAAGTCACAATGACTTGTGCACTAGTTGTTTTAGGCGCACCACTTAGGATTTAGAAGGGACGCCTCGCTGTTTTATTTTTTTAATCAAACTTCGTGTTGTTTTTATTTCAGACTTCATGTAGTTTTGTATTAGGGCTGCGATTTCTCTCTAACTCTATTTAAGAGAGAAAATCGCCTAAGTATTATTCAGTGAAGAATTTTGATCAAACTTTTAACGTGTTCTTCTCTCTTTGATTTCTGAGAACTAAAAACTCTGAAATTCGAATCTCTTAAAAACTAACTTGTTTACAAGAGATTCTTCTATCCCTCCATTTCATCGATATCATCTCATCATCAACCACAACCGATCATCACACCACGTCCACCCTCTCATCGCACTTGATCCGCTGAACCACCATCACCATCTTCGACTCGATTCTCAAGCCATCGCCACCATCGAATTGATCATCACCACCCATCACCTCATCGCTATAGTCTGTCCACAAATCGCAGCATCTGTTGCCTTTTCTTCAGAGTTGATCACCTAGGATCGTATCACGTGGTATCAGAGCCAACTCTGAACTAAAGGCTGAGCGAAACTCTAACCCTAATCTCTGTACTTTGAATTTTCGTTTCTGTGTTATTAGGGTTAGCGAATTCGATAGTTTGTGTGCATCGATCTGTTTCCTTTAATCGCTGTATCATTCGTTTTTTTGTTTTTGTTATTTGTTAGATCGTGTTTGTTTTAGTTTGTTTCGCTGCATCACTTCTATATCGTCGTTAGGTTGCATCGATCTGGTCTTTGCTGCTTATTCATTGTGTCGTGTGGTGTCCGAAATTTTGTTAGTTTTAGTTTCATTGCTTCGTATCGTGTCTAGGGTTTTGATAGTCTTCGTGTTTCGCAGTCGTTAGGAGTCTTCGAGTTGTCGTTTGCGTTTAGACCTTTAAGAATCTTGTATTTTCGTTCCTTACGTTAAAAAAAAAAAAAAAAATTTCGTTAAATTTCATTAGTTTCGTTAAGTTTGTTTTTAGATTTCGTGGGGATCTTTTAATTTTTTTTTATGATGCGTTTAGTTTTGCTGTTTTTGTGATTTCTTCTAGAACAAGTTACTGCGAGTTTTTTTTTAAATTTTTTTTCAGGTACCATGGAGCTTTCGGCTGAGGCAATGGAAGCTCTGAACCGAGCAATGTCTCAGCAAATCAAAGAAGCGAATCAAGCCATAGCAACTCAGCTCACCCAACAAATCGAACAACTCAACGACAAGTTCGAGACCAAGATGAGTGATCTGCTCAAAGATCTCAGTGCAAGTGGAGAAGAGTCGTCTCAAACTCCAACTCCGTCAGAAGCAATGCGCTTAGCTAAGGGTAAAGGGCATATAGGATCTTCCCGGAAACTTCCACGCCACCCAACACCTTCCGAAGCCAGGACTAAAGCTAAGTCCAGTCGAAGCCAGATTGGGGGCAGAGAGACTACGTTTAATCCGAGGAGGAATCCTACTGGTGCAGAACGAGATGGCCCAAGGGTAGATCGTCAGCACCGCCGAGAGGAATATATTGCTGGGCATCGAGTTACCCTGGAATCAGACCCAGAATACTATGAGGAGGACGAAGCTTCTGATCATAGCCGAGAAACTGTGAGACGAGATCGAGGCCGAGGACATGGTCGAGATTATGATCCTCTACGTCAGCAGCTGCGTCACATCAAAATCCAGTATCCTCCTTTCCATGGAACTAATGATCCCTAAGCTTATCTAGATTGGGAAAGGAAGATGGAGTCTAATTTTCTGGTCCAAGGAACTTACGAGCTCAACAAGGTGAAGATTGCAGTTTCGGAATTTCATGGGTATGCGCTTCTATGGTGGGAGCAGTTGGGAGTCACCAGAAACCGCCTTAGAGAACTTCCGATTACTACTTGGGATCAGCTTGTTATCCAGATGAGGAGGAGATTCGTTCCAGCCCATCATCAGCGCGAAATACTCAACAAGCTCAGGCCTCGTCCAAGGTACGAAGTTTGTTCGAGATTATTATCAAGAATTAGAAACTTTGCTCATTCGTGCAGATTTACGAGAAGGCGAAGATATGGTAATGTCGAGATTTCTTGGAGGACTTAACCGAGAAATTCAAGACAAGGTGGAACTTCAGGATTTCGCAGATATACAAGGGATGGTGCATAAGGCTGAATTGGTGGAATCTCAAGTCAAGAGGCGAATCATCAAGTCCACATTCACGCCTAGTGTACCTAAGCCTAAGGAGATCAGCAAGCCAGCTTACTCCAGAGACATCAAACCGCCCTCTAGTGGAGTTAGAGAAGAAGCTAAAGCTGAGTTCAAGCCTCGAGGTGGCACTTCTATCAGCAATGTGAGGTGTTTCAAATGTCAAGGAATGGGACATTACTCTCGAGATTGCCCAAACAAGAAGGTTTTCTTGTTACATGAGGGAGGAGAGATAGTTCCTCAAGAGGATTCAGAGGCCGAATATGAATTAGAGGAAGAGGAAGAAGCTGCTGCTGTGGGCGAGATGCTGGTTGCCAGAAGGACTTTGAGTGTTCAGAGTCAACCTGAAGAGACTTGTCAGCGAGAGAACCTGTTCCATACGAGATGCTTCATTCAAGGAAAAGTTTGTAGCCTGATCATAGATGGAGGAAGTTGTACTAATGCTGCAAGCGAAGAGATGGTTAAGAAGCTCCAGCTCAAGACTATTCCTCATCCAAGGCCGTATAAGCTTCAGTGGTTGAATGACAGTGGAGCCTTGACCGTATCTCAGCAAGTGATGGTTTCTCTATCCATTGGGAAGTATGAAGATGAGATTCTATGTGACGTCATTCCCATGGGTTCGAGTCATGTGTTGCTAGGCAGACCGTGGCAATCAGATCGTAGGGTGATACACGACAGTTACACCAACAAGCACTCATTCGAGTTCAAAGGTCGCAAAATTACCCTCCTACCTCTCACGCCTACCGAGATTTATCAAGATCAAATTCAAATGACGCTCAAGGAGAAGGAGAAAGTCGCCAACAGCCTCTACATAAACCACAATGAATTTTCTAAACTCTTTGATCCTGAAATGACTACTTTTATGTTTGTGTACAAGGAATCCCTTGTTAGTACTAACCCTTCACAGGAGCTTCCTAGTGCTATGTTTGAGATTTTTCAGGAATACAAGGACGTTTTTCCAGTCGAAATTCCACCAGGGCTACCTCCAATTCGCGGGATAGAGCATCAGATTGACTTGGTACCAGGATCAGCCTTACCTAACAGGCCAGCATACCGAACCAATCCTGTAGAGACTAAGGAGCTGCAGAAGCAAGTGGAAGAGCTGATGAGCAAGGGACATATTCGAGAAAGTTTGAGTCCATGTGCGGTTCCAGTCCTGTTGGTGCCAAAGAAAGATGGTTCCTGGAGGATGTGTGTAGACTGCCGAGCTATCAACAACATCACTGTGAAGTATCGGCATCCGATTCCAAGACTAGATGATATGCTGGATGAGCTCTGTGGATCGACATTCTTTTCGAAGATAGATTTGAAGAGTGGGTATCATCAGATCAGAATGAAGGAAGGGGACGAATGGAAGAAGGCGTTCAAGACAAAGCAAGGACTCTACGAGTGGCTAGTTATGCCGTTTGGTCTCACCAATGCTCCCAGCACCTTCATGAGATTAATGAACCATGCCCTGAGACCATTCATTGGCGTGTTCGTAGTGGTTTATTTCGACGATATCCTCATCTACAGTAAAGGTTTGGAAGAACATCTAGATCACATCAGATTGGTTCTTGATGTTCTTCGCTCTCAATCTCTCTTTGCTAATTTATTTAAATGTTCATTCTGCACTAATGAAATTGTTTTCTTAGGCTTTGTAGTAAGTGCAGGAGGAGTTAAAGTAGATGAAGAGAAGATAAAAGCTATCAAGGAGTGGCCAACCCCCAAGAATATTGGAGAAGTCCGAAGTTTCCATGGCTTAGCAGGATTCTACAGGCGTTTTGTTCGTGATTTCAGCACCATAGCCGCGCCCTTAACAGAAGTGATCAAGAAAGACGTGGGGTTCAAGTGGGGAGAAGCGCAAGAACAGGCTTTTACAGCCCTTAAAGAGAAGCTTATCAATTCGCCCTTACTAGTACTTCCTGATTTTACTAAGACTTTTGAGATTGAATGCGATGCTTCTGGTGTAGGTATTGGAGCAGTTCTTATGCAGGACAAGAAGCCCGTCGCTTACTTCAGCGAAAAGTTAGGAGGATCAACGCTGAATTATCCCACGTATGACAAAGAGTTATACGCATTGGTTCGAGCTCTCCAGACGTGGCAGCATTACCTATGGCCTAAGGAATTCGTCATTCATACCGATCACGAGTCTCTAAAGCACCTCAAGGGTCAGCAGAAGCTTAACAAAAGACATGGGCGATGGATGGAGTTCATTGAGACATTCCCCTACATTGTTAAGTACAAAAAAGGTAAAGATAATGTGGTCGCAGACGCATTATCCCGGAGGTACACTCTTATTTCGACTTTAACATCAAAGTTGATTGGATTTGAACACATTATAGATCTTTATGAATCTGATACTGACTTTTCTGAGAGCTATGCCAAATGTCATAAGTTTGCCTGTGAGAAATTTTATAGACAGGACGGATACTTGTTCTTCAGTAACCGATTGTGCATACCACGAGGATCTATTCGAGAGTTACTGGTACGAGAAGCTCATGGAGGTGGATTAGCTGGACATTTCGGTGTCACAAAGACACTTCTTGGGCTACAAGAGCACTTCTACTGGCCGAACATGAAGAAGGACGTTGAGAAAATCTGCTCTAGATGTGTCATATGTAAGATGGCTAAGAGTAAAGTTCAACCTCACGGTTTGTATACTCCTTTGCCTATTCCTTCTCAACCTTGGACTAATATCTCTATGGATTTTGTAGTTGGCTTACCTCGCACCAGAAATGGTAGAGATTCTATTTTTGTAGTTGTTGACAGGTTTAGCAAGATGGCTCACTTCATCGCTAGCCACAAGACAGATGATGCTGTGAATGTAGCTAACTTGTTTTTCAGGGAAGTAGTACGACTGCATGGAATGCCACAGGTTATCGTTTCAGATCGAAACACGAAGTTCTTAGGACACTTTTGGCGAACGCTTTGGGCTAAGCTGGGAACAAAGCTCTCATTCTCAACTACGTGTCATCCTCAGACCGATGGACAGACCGAGGTGGTGAATAGAACATTGTCCACACTTCTAAGGACATTGGTGAAAAGTAACCTCAAGACATGGGAAGAGTGCCTGCCTCATGTCAAGTTTGCTTACAATCACGCTAAGCATTCTGCTACTCTCTTTTCTCCTTTTGAAATTGTATATGGGTTTAATCCACAATCACCTCTAGACTTGATCCCTTTTCCTTTAAGTGGAAAATGCAGCTTGAATGGCAAGGAGAAAGCTGAACAGGTCCGAAGAATACATGCTAAGGCTAAGGAGAACATCGAGAAGAAGACAAAGCAGTATGAGAAGCATGCCAACAAAGGACGAAAGGAGCTGATTTTCGAAGAAGGAGATCTGGTGTGGATCCATCTGAGGAAGGAGCGATTTCCAGCTGAGCGAAAGAACAAGCTAATGCCCAGAGTTGATGGACCATTCGCAGTCATCAAAAGAATCAACAACAACGCCTATCAGATTGATCTTCAAGGTAAGTATGATGTTTCTGATGCTTTCAATGTTTCTGACTTGCTTCCTTATGTTGCAGATTCAGATTTGAGGACAAATCCTTTTCAAGAGGGAGAGGATGATATGATCGTGACCAGCTCAGAGGAGGAGGAACCAGAGGTAGCTGGCAGGATTACTCGTTCCAGAGCTAGAGAGATGGCTAAGGAGGCTCACGCACTCATAGCTGCAGAGGACATCGATCAACTGGAGGCTGGAGCTCACATCTTCAATATCTCTATCTTGAAGAATGAAGAACCCAGTAACAATGACTAGGTAACTTAGGTGATGATTCTGTACTCTTTTCCTTGGTGAGGATTTTGGAAGGCAAGGAGGTTCTTCTCCAAGGTTTTTAACGAGGCAGAAATCATTGCTACGTCGAGTTACTTAGAAGTTGTTACTAATGGGTAATAATGTGCAAAGTCACAATGACTTGTGCACTAGTTGTTTTAGGCGCACCACTTAGGATTTAGAAGGGACGCCTCACTGTTTTATTTTTTTAATCAAACTTCGTGTTGTTTTTATTTCAGACTTCATGTAGTTTTGTATTAGGGCTGCGATTTCTCTCTAACTCTATTTAAGAGAGAAAATCGCCTAAGTATTATTCAGTGAAGAATTTTGATCAAACTTTTAACGTGTTCTTCTCTCTTTGATTTCTGAGAACTAAAAACTCTGAAATTCGAATCTCTTAAAAACTAACTTGTTTACAAGAGATTCTTCTATCCCTCCATTTCATCGATATCATCTCATCATCAACCACAACCGATCATCACACCACGTCCACCCTCTCATCGCACTTGATCCGCTGAACCACCATCACCATCTTCGACTCGATTCTCAAGCCATCGCCACCATCGAATTGATCATCACCACCCATCACCTCATCGCTATAGTCTGTCCACAAATCGCAGCATCTGTTGCCTTTTCTTCAGAGTTGATCACCTAGGATCGTATCAAAACTGGGATGTATTTGAACATACTTTCGTATATTTGTAATAAAATATTTAGTATTTATTTATGGTAATCTTTAATTGCCATTTTACTTATGTCCTTTAATATTATTGTATTTATCGTTTATATATTTTACATGTATATAGTTATAGTTTTGGATATAACATATACCATCTATATATAGAATTCATTTGAATTTAGAAATGTTACTTCCTTTATAGACATTTTCTTCCATCCAATATTTTACATTGCCATAATAATAAGATATTGCCAAATTATACAACTACAATATTTTAACGGCCATTTTTCATATTATCCCAAATTTAGTACCATACCAATTTATTACGGTAGATTTGGAAATTATATTTATTACGAGCCTTTATGAGTTTCCTTATTTATAATTATGCCACATGATGCAACTATAACGTTTCTTACGCAATTGACAACGTTTTCTCAATATTGATCTTTTTTTTGGGTCCAATGCTCACTATTGATCTATTAACAACTTTACGTGTAAGAGTAATTTTAAATTAATTCCGATTGACGTTTTCATTTTAGTGCTGACAACTACTGTTAAGCTTTTCTCATTACCTTTGGAGTTGAATGTAAAATATTATATAAATTATCGATGTTTTAATGTTTGTGGATTATAATCAATGTAGCAGATGAGCTTATAATCTTACGAATCAATACACATATATGAGAAAGTGAATTAGGAGAATAATTATTTTTTATTTTATTCAAGATAATTAAGGTACAAAAAAAACAAAAAAAAAACAGAGATAATTTTAGCTAAACTTCGAAGTTTCTCCTTCCACATTTATTCTTATGTGCCTATAATATTCAAAAATATATTATGTAGTTAACTTCAAATATATTAGTTAAACAAATCAATGTATTAATGGAATATTAACAGCTTACCCACGGAGATGTATCTAGGTAGCGGGTTTATGTCTTAATGAAGCCGCATTCTATACATTTCAAACCTATCTCCAGATCGAGATGGAGATCGTGTTTTCCGTTCTTGAAACGTTCCTTTGGATCATCAGTCAATTTTTCTTCATCAAGCTGCAGATATTACATATTGATATGAACATCCAATAATACAGAAATCGTCAATAAAACGGGATAATTTAAAGTTTAAATTACCTCAGAAGGAACCTCGATGGCCTTCGCAGTTGATTTGCTCAGAAAGTCATTCATCTCTTCCCACATATTATTTTGCTCCATCTCTGATTCAGAAATTGGAGGAGGTGATGGTGTTTCTTCCACACCAAATCTCATGTTCAATAGTGGTTGATTAATTTTTAGTAATCTGTTTTCATCATAACGTTTTTCTTGGTGATTCTCCATTTTTTTCTAATCTCTTATCAGGCGTTTAGGATTGCAGAGTAAATTTTATAAGTATTTTTATAATAGAAGCTACCTCATATTTTATATAGGATATGGTAGTTAAAAAATATTCAATGTCAACAAATTTCTATGTTTTCTTGGGAATACTGTTTCAACCAACCAGTTTGACTTTTTCACTTTCGCTTTTGATAAATGGACATAATATTTACACAAGTTTTCTTCGTCCAGTTCACATAACTTGTCTCATACAAAAATGTTTAAAATTTTGAATTTTCCTTTTTACAGTTTGATTTAAACCGCAATATATGATAACATAATATTGTGCTCCGATAATTTCGAACTAATATTCTTATGAAGCAATTATGTATATTGAATTTTCTAACCATATATTATGGATTTTTAAAAATATAATATGAAGGATATTGATATATTGTTGTTACTTTCTATAACGAGATGCATATTGCAATCTTTAACTTATTCGTATATTCGTGTATGCCCTATTTAATCCATCTATATATTCACATCATACTTTTGTGAACTGCAACTTCATTTGTTATCTTGAAAAAAAATCTCAATATTCTCTATTTCTACTGCTATGAACAGGATAGGTAAGCCTTCTGCGTCCAACTTTATTCTATTAAGAATCCTTGGTATAGAACTATATATAGAGACTTACCCTTTATAACTTCTTATCATACATTATTTGTTTCCTTTTAACTGTTTTAACAAGTTCTTATAATTGTTTTCAGAAATTATTCAATTTCATCTACCAAGAACAAATTCTCCCAAGCAAAACAAGATGGACAAACTAATGAAAAATACAAAATTTATTGCTTGGATGAAGTGTAACAAGATATACCCAACTGCCAGATTCCTGCTCTACACTGAATTATCACATCAATTTTTCTTGAATGCCACATTGCATGAGTGGAGGCCACGGGTGAAGGGTTCAGGAAATCCAACTATTCTTCAACAATATTCAATTTATGATGGGAAAATTTTTTATTTGGGTTGTCTGTTGAATATCATTAGAGGTCCTCGCAGGTATGAAGATATCCGAACAGTTAATAGTGTTGTATACGACACCTTCAGAGAAGCTTGCTATGCAATGGGGTTATTCCCGGTCAATTAAATTTATATGTCTTTCTTAAGATTAATTTTAAAGTTGCATGCTGAATCTTTATTTTACTTTCATTTTGCTGTTTTTCATCGTCTTAATTTTTTAAATTACTTTTTTATACTGAATATATGAAATAGTAAGGTAAATCATCTACTAAATACTACATTTGCAATCGTTACATATTACATAATTAATACAACAGTCAACCAATTAACATTTCATTAAATATACCGTAACTTATAATTTATAATTTAGTTAATAAACTGTTATCATTGTAAGTTTAAAGTATTGTTGATACGGATTAATCGTAACTTAGTTGTTAATAAGATAAAATATATCTCGAATTTTGGAAATCTCTAATAAAATTGATCAACTTTTTAAATTTCAAATTTAAATGAAATACATAATATAGAAAAATGCGATTTGTTGTTATTTTATATAATTGCTGCGATGAGAAATAATAAATCTAACATTTCTACAAATTTGGAAAATCGTAATATTTCAAATTAAAAAATACCAATTAAAAGGTTTGTATGTCTTACACAATATTGGATACCATTCGATGTAAATAACAATTTTTTACATAAGCACGGACAGTTTTTTTTTT